AGATTAGTCTGAAAGGAATACTCTTTGTGATGACAAAAAACAAAAAGGAGGATATCCTAGCGTCACTGGCCGGCTATCGTAACTTAAGCAACTCGGACTTGTGCGGACCGTGTCACTAGGAAGGATTGTGACCTCTCGAGTTGAAGAAGTATTGTCCAGTTACATTCAATCATGTAATTGCTATAATATTTGGTCTAAATTTGAGTATAAGTATGAATTTGTTAATTACTAAGTTAGAAAGAAAAATCACAATTACACTAAAAACGTATAAAGTTATGCCAAAAATTACAACAATCAGACCGAACTGGACAAAATTTAACGTGAAAGACCCCTAATCCATGGGAGGATATATGGAGCGCCATATAATCTTCCTTTTCCAGAAAGGGTAAATGCAATTTCTCTGCACTATCCTCGCTTTCTACTTGCCCCCAACTATCAACTTTAGCAATTTAATATGTACGTCTGTGACTATGAAATTTTGAAACATTTAAAATTCAATGATTTTTTTTTTTACAAATTTCTGTTGAAAATACTTTAGTACTACCTCTAATTTCATCCGTTAATCGATATAAATTCATTCATTTAGGGGTATTTAAGTCTTTTCATTCAAAAATCGCTATCAAAATTTTTGGACTATTAATTGATTTGAGCAATGTGCTATAAATTCATGATATAAAGTATTCGGGTGTTACAATTGATAGCGGAGAGTATAGACTGGAAATTATTGAAACTTTGGGGATGCAAATTGTTATTGTTCTAACTTATTTGAAACTAGCAGCAACTCAAGGAGGAAGACTACTTACTAGAACTACAAGTAGCTTTGACATCTTTTTTCCCTGACGCGATCCTCTGTCCATTATATATCTTCATTTTTTCTGTTCAATGCAAAACTACATAGTTTTATTTATTAATATTGCTGATGTGGCACATAACATTGAGTGCATATTTAGGGTTGTTTGATAAATGGGTTTTAAATTCAATAATATCCTAATTGTACTCATAGGCTTCTACTTTTGAATTTCATGCTGCATGATTCAAATGAGATTAGGCAAGCATTTGAGGACGAGATCTTTGAATTTGTCAGAGCTGCAGTTACGTGCAGTCATGTTGATTCAGAAAGTAGGCCGTCCATGCTAAAATTGAATTTGAAACCCATTTACCAAACACCCCCTAAATATGCATTCAATGTTATGTGCCGCATGAACAGTATTAGTAAGTGGAATTACGTAATTTTACATAAAACAAAAAAAAAATGGACAGATATAATGGACAGAGGATCCCGCCTGCTCTTTTCCCTTTTTCCTACTAAATTTGCTCTTGCCGACTACTTATATTTATTAAATTGAATAATCTGCGGCCTCTTCGGGCAAAATTTTGCCCCTTTATTCAGGATTATGGTACATATGAATATATATGATATGATTTTTTCTATTCCCCAAGGACACATAATAAGAACACACCCAAAAAAAGAAAACAAAAGTGAACTCAGCATTAAAGCTTTATTACCACCCACCCTCCCAAATTATAACTCTTTCTTGGAAGAAATTTGCCTTTTTGTACAGACAAAATAACACTGATACTTTCTTATTGTGTGACTTTTGGCACTGGATACTGCAGAGACGAGCCTATAGTATCATAAGTTATCTATGCTTACTTATAGTGTAGCCTGAGTGACCAAGCTATGCTTGCTTATAAAACACTTCATTATTGGCCGAGTATTCAAGTCTTTTCCTCATAAATGCACTCTACTAAGAAGCTGCAATTTCTGCGCAAGAACCCCAGCAAATCCTTCAGCGAAGCCAGTTGAAGTGAAAAAAAACATGCAGAATACAGATAACGATGGACGTGGACGACACCCATACGGCTGGAACTCAAAATTTGCAGCTTCGATAGCCAGTAGCAGCAGTACACATAGCATTCCTTGCAAAAGCCAATATATGATTATGATATGTATTTATCTTAGACCAAGATTTCCGCAATACAAATCAACCAGAGCCAGAAAATTGCCCCATCATGTTCCGTTCAGAATTCTCATTCCACCAGAAAAGCATTGAGCAAAATAATATGCTGATAATGCCAAGTAATATATATACTGTGGCCATAACTCACTATCATACGGCCCATACCAGCTTGTAAGAGGTGATACCATTTGCATTAACTGTGTTTCAACTGCCTTGTATCCCACACTTTGCTGTCAATTGTCGGTTTGTAACAAATGCCATACCTGCCGGAGCAGTGTGAAGTTATACGTATTCATTTTACTGAGCCACCAAGTTCTACCAAATGTATAGTAACTAAATGCGTTTGTTTCATTCGCGCGTATTAAATAGCGAAACAAACAGATTTAGATCCTGTTTGATAATGCGATTCATCACTTAAGTTCGATGATTCAGATTTTAACATATTCACACATGTTTAATAACAAAAATTTGAACACCTAAATTGACTAATAAGTGATACTGAATTTTTTAAATAAAAAATGTTCCTAAAAATAAGTAATAAACTATCCACTTATCACTTAATGTTATTATTTGATGTGATATATACTTAAACATATTAGATTTAGTACTTAACAAGTCAATATTTAATGCATAGGGATGTAATCAAGTTGAGTTTGAGTATTACCATACTCGAGCTCGATTCGATATACAGGAAGGATATTCAAACTCAAACTTGATCTCGAGCGAGTAGCATCACTGAAGCTTGAATTTAAACTCGATATATTGCTCACAGAACTCAAGCTCAACTCGCATGGAGTTTGAGTCAATGCGAACCTTATTGAGATTGAGTTAGCAAGATTTGGAAATTTCATTTTTCTTGACAATTTTTTAGTGAAAACACATTATTGTCCTTCAAAAAATTTCATATGACCTCAAACATTTCATAAATTCAACCATTCTTGTGGCCATAAGGGTAATTTCATAATTAGAATATATTAAAGAATTAAAATTAAAAAACTTATAAGGCTCGACGAACCTTCAAACCTTACTAGTGGATACTCGAACTCGATTTGTTAGGCCTATCGAGCTACTCGAAATCGATTCGAACCAGATCAACTCAAGTCCAAATCGAGTTTTTGACCGAACTTCTCTTGAGTAACTCGATTAGATTACAGCCCTATTAATGCATTTAAATTTCAATTTACTCGCGAGCAACTCGATTCAATTGCAATCCTATTAATACATTTAAATTTCAAATTTTAGACTTCAATTTTATCAAATACACTCTTATTAATTATTCTGATTTGTTTATCCGTCTTCAAGACAATAGAAAGCAAAATATATATTCCTATGCATTGTGCATGTTTGAATGTTTCTTTACTGTTCATTACCGCGATACAGCTGTATCCTTATTTTGGACCATGCTAACCATTCTCAATTTGAATACGTCTTATTCTTTGATTCCTTCGAATCACGTCTGCTCAGTAGATTTTAAAAACTTTTCAAGTATGAAAAGCACTCCTTTGATCACTTCATATGTGCAAAGTACCAAAAATTAGTTCCATGAGTTTATTATCTCGATTTGTTTTGAATATAATTAAGCCCATAAAAGATCATAAAGGCAAAGTAATGAACGTGGGCTCAACATCTCAATCATTTTATTTGCAATCAAGGATGAGAAGGGAAACACAATTGGAGTTGCTATTAGTACTAACTTAGATAAAAGAAACCTTTGATTATTGACATGTAAAAGCATTTACCCAAGCTAAGAATCCACGCATTATCCTTGAGCAGTTTTGCTACCAGCTCGTTTTAGCCTTGCAATCCTACCAAAATTTAAAAAATATATGTATTGTAGCGCAACGGATCTTCTGTCTCATACTCTGTGTCACTCTCTGTCCCGTTTTATAGTCTCCTACACAAAATTAATAGCTGTTGGATCTTAAGAAAATAAAAAAGAACTAAAACATGATATTTATGCAGGAGAAATACCAATATAATAAAAAACGGGACAGAGAGTGGCACAGAATATGAGACAGAAGATCCGTTGCGTTATTGTAGTCTAGCATGACTCTCTAACTTTATTTCTCTTTCCTCTAAAGCTAGTTTGCAAGGTACATAAGTCCAGATAAACCTGTCATAACTTCCTAATCATTTTTTTCCCAAAGCTAATGTTGTACAAATTAACCATTAACGATCCAACAACCCCCCGGGGAAAAAAAAGAAAAAAGAAAAAGCGCTTCAAAGTCCATTGATGAGAACTTCTGAGACTGGAATTTTTTTATGCCACATAAATTAACCCTGTTTAAATTACGTGTTTTTGCAGAATAATCCTCTCAGCACATTTCAACAAACTATAAGGCATTTGATCAACAATATAAATTATTTTGATCAACAATATAAATTTAGAATAGATTTTTGAGGACTCCATCTGTGGGCTTAAAAAAAAAATATACACCACGAATTTTCAACCTTTTTTGTGGCCAATCTTGGCCATCAATCCTTGGGAACGTTTAATTCATCCATAATCTACGTGCATGGAATTAAATGTTTCACATTCAAGTTGCTAAGAACAATCCAAATGGTGGTGTTTGGCATCCATCCGTTTGGCCATAGAATTCATACACTTTTACTTTGAAAAGGCTGGACTTGACGTTTTCAAGCTTTTTCTTTTTTAAATAGGAAGAAAAATCGTAAAGTCGTTTCCCTTTTCTTTCCTTTTTTTTTTTGTCGTTTTATTGCATCCATTTAATAGCACAGCCTCCGACTATCCATATATAAGTACTGTCGTTTTTTTTTTTTGAGATAGGTGTGCTAGATTTGGTTGGTTCCAATTTCCAAAGTAAAACAGAAAATGAAGTATCTTAAATATATAAGCTTATTTAGGCATATCCATCCTGGGAAACATATATATATATATCAAAGCGGGCTTTTTCTAATAGCTAGCTGTCCAATATCTAAATTATAGTACTACTACTACATAATTCGTCACTTGTATTTATTGGGATCTCGTCAAACTTTCCAGAATTGGGAGTGTGTTTTAAAACTGATGACTGAATAAGAAACTTTAATCTCAGAGCACTAAATTAATTTTCCAACAACCAGCAAGAGGAAATTTATTTAATTACTACAATCTGCTGACAACAAATTTATAGTACTGCTGCTACTTCACAAGGACAGAAACAGAACCCCCGCCCCCCCTAAAAAAAGTAATAAAACCGAACCGAACCAGACTTAGTGCAAGGAGGTAACATTAATTTACTAAAATTTGAATGTTGCAGATGAAGCAAATTAAATGGTCCAAAGAAGATTCCACCAAAACCTTCAAACCTTGTTCCTAGGCAAAATAATTGCTTTCAAAGGATTCTTCATCACAACCGTGAAGGCATAAGTCTCTGTAGGGTCAGGAGGGTTATCCGGAATTGGAAGCCACTTGAATGCCTGAACCATTCTAGCCAGCAGCAAATGGATATGCAGCGTACCCAATGTCCAAGCGGGGCAGATCCGCCGGCCGGCCCCAAATGGCAGCATCTTCGCCCCCTTCACACCGGTAATATCCACGTCGACACCGTCTCCGATCAGAAATCTCTCTGGCCTGAACTCATTAGGGTCCTCCCACAGGCTAGGGTCCTTGGTGATCCATTCAGTGTAAAATTCTACACTTGCATCAGCTGGAATAGTGTAGCCTCCTAGCTCGGTTTCCTTAGTGGAAGCATGTGACAAGACAAAATGACTTGGAGGATGCCTTCGAAATGTTTCCTTGACTATTGCCACAAGATATGGCATATTCTCCACATCTTTCTCAGTGATTTCCCCGTTTTTCCCTACCAAATCAACAATTTCTTTGTACAACTTCTCCTGAATCTCCTGATTTGTCACCAAGCGATGCATAGCCCATTCTACAGTCGTTGCACTGGTATCCGTACCAGCACTTATGGTCTCAGAGCACAGGGTAACAATTTCCTCCTCACCAAGCTTTCCACGGCCTGGAGGCGCAAGCTGGAACAAAGAATCAACGTAGGCAGCTCCAATATCGCTGACCATTTCCGACCTCGGGGAGCTATTTTTGCTTCCACCACTCTCCACAAACGCTCTTCTGTCCCGGATCAAAGGGACCAGGGAATCTAGCTGTCTCCTTCTCAACTCTTTTGCTGCCTGCACTTGGCCTCGAAATAGTGGTGTGAGAAGCGGCAAAAAGTCTGGCAGCTTTGGAGATGTTATCAGCATGACTTCTTTGAGTATGCATTCGATTTCCTTGATCCATTCTTCCGAGATCTTTGCTCCAAAACACAGACAAATGAGAATGCTGCAGATAGTCTGCCTGCAGCTGCTCATCACCTCCACAAAACCCTCTTCAGAACTCCGTTGATGGAGCCTTTTCATGTGGTTTTCGATAGCCCAGTTCCTTATCCAGCTGCACTGTCTGATTCTCGTCGGATTTATCAGCTCGGTGACAAGGTTCCGGCGGAGAGAACGCCAAAGAGGACCGTATTCTGCTGAGTTTATGGCACATTTTCCGACGCTAAATAACAGCCGGATCGGAGAGTCGGCCGGCCGGCTGGCGAAGAGGGGGCCTTTCTGAACTAAGGCTTCATGAATGAGCTCAGGGCTTGTGACAACTATAAGGGTACGTTGGCCCATTTGCATGGTGAAAATAGGACCATATTTGGCACGTAAATCACGTACCACAAAAATGAAGTGCTTTCCTTGGAGGATAACTTGGAAAAGGTTGCCTACAAGTGGCCAACCTGGTGGCCCTGGTGGGAGGTTCTTGGCTCCGCCACCGGTGACCGACCAGTATCGCCACCATAAACGAAAAAGAAGAGCCACTGCCAAGAGTATAACAAGATCTGTCCACTCCATTTCTTTGGGTTTGCTATCTTTGAGGCGCTTGTTTGGAGAAAAGAAAAGGGGGTTTGTTTGCAGGGGGGCATTATTTCCCTTATAAAGAAAATAAAAGAGTGGTGGCCTTGGGTGAATGAATTTTACTGGAGCACTACAATAATAGTCTATGATTCTCTTATTTCACCATCAACCACCAGTGTTAAATACTCCTGTATTTTATCAGCAGCTTTTACAGTTGAGTACAGATCGGAACAATTAAATCAAGAAAATGCACAGTTCAGTCTATTAAATGTGTGCATTTATGGGAATACTCAATACTAGACGAGTCAGGCTGTGCTCCACATGTGACCTTAAAAAGAATCTCATTAACAAAAGATGGAACTTAATTTCCATGCTAAATTTCTACTACGCAGAGCCAGTGTGCCCACCTCTAATCTAATGACCCCTAGCTATAAGAAATCTAACTAACAAAAAGATAGAAATTTGCAAGCTAAATTTCAACCAGTTAGCTCCTCAATTGACTAAATGCATCCTATACTTTACTAACACGAATGAAAGTTCCTCCACAGCTAACTAATTTTAGAGGGTGTTTGGACCGTAGCTAATTTTAAAATGTGATGTATGTAAGATAACAAGATAATTGAAAAATGCGTGGAAGGATAATTTTTTTCCAAAAAAAAAAAAAGCAATCCAAACACGGCCTTGCTTACGTGGAATGGGCCGCCTCTCTCTTGCTACTCTTTGCAACAAATATCGAGCTGCCACTGCTAAATCGTGAGCCACAGCTACCTGGCTCCTATCTATCTTATTACATAATGCAACTGAAGAATAGAAAGAAGACAATATCCATTGTTACATTCCCAACAGCCAAAGGCGATTCTGAAGGATCAGAGAGTAATAGGCTGCTATCAGTTTGCATTAATATGTCCTTGCAACAAAGCATTCGCAATCCAACAATCGACTCAAAGCAAGCTTGTGCTTCTGCCCGGATAGCTGATTCAACTAATTTTGGTTTAGTCACAATTTGCATTACCGTCCCGTGAGAATTCTAAACAAGATGCCCGATACCACCCTTCATTGAATGACTATCAAACGAGCTATATATCTATGATAACACTGATAGGATGTCTAGCAAACATTGAAGGATCAGGTTGAAAATGAAGCTTCGTGTTCCCTTGCGTGATTGATTACTCGAGGTACTGCTGCAGAATTCAGGCGATCGAGATGGACATTCCACCTTGTCAGATAGGATTGAGGTATTCCACATATGTGATAGGCAGACTTGCACTGGACTAATACTCACTTCTTCCCAAAGCAATCCAGATTTGGCAAAACGATAGCAGGATAAGATCCTTAGACGGGACCAGCTCCACCCATTGGCCAAACCACTGCTTAAGTATGTATTTTGTTTAAAGCGTGGGGGTACATTGTGCGAATATGAAAATTTGATATCAAACTCAGAGATTTTAGGTTAAAGATTCGTCAATCTTTCTATTTCTTGAATCTCACTATTTTCCTATTAAAACAAATCTACAAATTTTATTTATAACACGTGGTTGTTTTGGGAGGAGGGGGGGGGGGGAGATAATGTATGAATATGACCATGTGATATTAAGAAGACGAGAATTTTTCTTGTGAAAGACGAGTTTTTTTTAAGTCGACATTAGTTTAGGCAAGGATTTTAAGTGGCACAAATGGACTTTGTCGAGTCAACATTAGTCTTAATCAGGCACAACTCCACGCTTGGGCAAAATATATATTCATGGTTTGGGGTCGTATTCAAGATCAATTTTCATCATACGAGCTGCTACTGTTGGCAATTGCTTTTAGTTTTCAGCCAAATGATTGATCATACTCTGATTCCTTAAACAAAGAACCCTCCAAGTTGTCTCCTCTAAGTCTAGATATGAAGAGACCTCTGCTGATGTTCTTCTGGCCCCGAAATCTTTGACATGCAGTTGGAGGGGGAGGGAGAAGTTTGCAACATCTTTCACATCTCAAACAAATGTTTTTCTACGGTTAGCTACTCACACAGTAGTGTAATAGGTATACAGTTGACCCAATAAAAAGATAAATTACACCTTAACGTCTCTTACTTCTTAACTCACACCGACTATTATTCAATGATTCAGCAACTTATTGACTCTGCAATTAAAGTGCAAAGCGCATTTCTAGAGCAATTGCGCTTTACAAATTACAACCCCACAAATGGCCGACAGGATTCAAGATTTTCTGTCCACCCTCCCGTCAAATGCAAAACTATATAGTTCCACTTATTATATTTACTGATGTAGTACAGAAAAAAAGAAAGATGGTTTGGCTGCCTTATGCTTCTTTTTATTTTTTAATAATAAGGTTCCCAAAATTGTTTGCTTACACTTACATGAGAAAGAAAAGAAATTATTTTGTTGAAGAACTTCCTTCGTCTTCTAAGCAGAAAATGGTGGCAATAGATTTTGGGAATTGTAACAGTAGCAACAGAGTTTTGGAAATTGTAACAAAATTGTGTAAATAAAGGAAATCCAAAAGAGAAAAAAAGAAGAAGAAGCATAAAACAGCCAAACAGCATTTCTTTTTTATGTGCCACGTCAGCAGATATAATAAGTGAAACTACGTAGTTTTGCATCTGACAGGAGAATGGACAAAAAATCTTGAATATAGAATCTCGTCTGCACAAATGGGTGGCTAAAGAATGTAATGGCTACACATGTCTAGATAGCCACTAATCTTTTTTTTTTTTTCGAAAACGACAACAATTGTATAATCTAATCTATTTTATACTAAGGGGAAAGGGACTGACCTAAAGAGACCCAGGGATAATTTGGAGGGGACTAAACCACCACCGAATCAAACGGGTGCACAACACACCCGTCTGAAAATTTTGAAACAAATCACTTAAATGTGACATTTTGGTGGAAGGCAAGGTTCAAACCTTGCCTCCCATCCCACCAAGCTAGGTGGTGGCCACCGGCCCAAAGGCTGGTGATTTAGATAGCCACTAATCGTAAATTAGATAGCCACTAATCGTAAAGGTTAACATGGCTAGAAAAACTTCAACATCAATCGGTCACTCTCCCCTTCCCGGGATGAGGCCCCCATCCCCCCCCCCCCGGGTCAATGGGTTCTAATTCGTCGAAGGAGACGGCTCCCTGAACCAATCCAAAAACTGATGGGAAAAGTTCTTTCATTTCCTTATCCAGTACAGACGCCGCTCCAACATTTATCAGCCTTAAAAAATAGAAGGCTACAACTTTCACATGGTTTCCAATTGTAAATTAGAAGCGTTTGACAAAAACTAAACATCAGACGATCGATCAAGTTTGGTAGGCTAAACATGTGACATATGCCCAAGAAATAAGGGCTAATACGATTCTAGTATCCTTCCTGGTATGTTTAGACTCGGGATTTGAAATACTATTTGAGGGAAAATTTTGGTAGTATTTTTCATGAAAAAATTACTGTAACGATTTGATGTATGTGAGGGAAAAAAATAATAGGGAAATGTGATCGCGAAAAACGACGTAATTTTTCAATAAAAAATCGCAATCCAAACAAGGCCAATTAATTTATTTTCAGTCCCTTGCATGAGTTCTCGAGTCATAATTTGATTTAAGCTACTGAAAAAATATGATTGCAAGACAGTAGGCTTGAACAGATGCCAATGGGTTTCTTATTTACACTACTTACCACTGAGATGAAACATAGGTCCACGGCCACCCAATGCAATAAAGCAACAAGTCCCTTCTGCTAGTGCTTACATTTAACTGCAATCAATTCTTTGACTACTGCACTGTCCAACGGTAGGTGCAGGCAACACATTCTTTAATTTCCTCCTCTGAGAGGAAAAGTCATAGACAACTCATTGACAGTGATTTCGAGTTTTCTTTCTTCGTTTTTTCCCCCCCCCCCCCTCGGAGAGCATTAAGAATGAGCTGGAAGTTGGGAACCAGCACGTTTTACCGAGCGACCCTTTTCTGTTCACTCACAAACACAACACAGTTGCTTAATTACCTAAACAACGTTAATGTGGTCGTTCAGACTTGTCTTCAGGTGTAATATCGTTGCAAATGATCTATCCTTGTGGGAGGGAACTGGGCTACGAACTTGGTTTTTGATGGGATTAACATTTTTTATTCTGATAATGTAAAGATCTTTGGCACAAGATATAGTTTGTATCAAAACACTGACGTTTTAAAAAATCTTTACACAATCAATATACTGAAAAAAATTATGCACGAAACGACTGGCAAGAAACAAGTTGCCGCGGAGAACCAGGGGGTTGGCTATCCTTTACAATAGAGGTGGGTACCGTCTAATTGGTCCGATATGGGAGTATTCGTTTCATATTTCTAGAAGTCTTGAAATCGAAATTGATGGCTTAAATCTGGGTCGCATCTGAGCCTAGCTATGCAGGTATGCTTCTCTGTAATTACACTAGCAATGACAGAGAAACCAAATCTGATTGGAATGGGACTAGAGATAGGCCTGTCAATTGAACCACATGAGTCGGGTTTTCATAAGTTCAAATTCAGTTTATTTAATTTGTAACACTTTCAGGTTTCAAACCATGAGTTTCGCGCAAATAAATATGATGATCATACTCAACTCACAAAATATTCGGATTTTGAATCATATTCGTGTTTATCCTAAATTCACTTATTGCTCCTCAATTTTCTTAATATAATTATTATAACTATTGAGTTCTAAAACTAATTTTAGACCCAAATTCAGACTGATTCACTAAAAGATCAAGCTCATCGGATTTTTTCTTGGAGCCAACGAGTCGAACTTGGGTTAACCTGGCCGAATTAACAGTCCTAGGTAGAGAGCAAATTAATGAGGCAACCATGTCCTCTTAACTTCAAAGGAGTAATTACTCTTAACTCTTGGGTAGATCTTGGTGTTGAAAAATGCTGGCCTGAATTAATTTGTGTTAATCTCTATTCCCATTCCACCTTTTCTCTTACAAGACATATTTTCCATCATCTTTCTTGTAATCAATTTTGGGTTTATCTTCCAATTTGTCGACATTTATCTTTCTATGATTTAATATTTATTCAATTTATCTGATCTCTTTTAGA